AAGCCTCAGTTAATTTGGCCTGCCACTTAGGTTGTTCAACCATTCTCGCATGCTATCTGTGTTATCCACATAGTCGTGTGTGAGCACAGGGAGCCAGAGATACCAGGGAATTTAATATACATATACGTGTGGTGGTTTAAATTTTTCTAGAATTTCTTGTAGTGTTACGGTTTGAAATGGCTTTTTGCATCTGACCTCGACTATTTTGAGCACCTAGGTGACTGGGACGTCATGTGTTGTTTCCAGTCAGCTCACTCTCCAGGCGTTGACCTATAAAGTTTTATTTATTTCACGATTTTTTGAACGCTAGTGTTCGTGTCAAAACACTGAATCGTCAACGCATAGCTCTTGAATAATTTTGAGTAACCGATAGTGTTGTTCTTTTGTACCCAGAAAATGACGCAAAATGTTTTTTTTTCTATAAGAGAAAAGCGTCCACGTAATCATTGACCGGATCTTTCGAGACAGAGCTGCGCACAATGGGACACCAAGTTTCGAACAAGCAAGTGCGCACGAATTGCTTCAGTGGTGCAGAGGTGCGTTGACAGATAAAGCTGTGTTTACTTTACTCGAAATTATGGGCCTCTGTAGGTTAACAAACATCTGATGCTGGTGAGAGCAATAGCGTCCGTGGTTGGTACCCGGTATCCACACCTAACCTGTTGGCTACATAAGAGAACTGAAACAAACAGCGAAAATTTAGTCCCATAGAATTCAAAAGATCCACTTGATTCCGTTGACGTGTTTCGAAATCTGACTGTGTCTAATAAATGTACAATGGCATATGATGTGTGCTCCTTTCATGCAAGTGTAACGGTGGATACTACTGATGAGGCATGTGAGTAGTGTCTTCTCGTAAATCCGCTTCACGTCTCTTGAAAGGTGAGATCTATTACGGACTTTTTGGAGTCGCTTTGTAGCACTCGCTTGAAATTGAGTAACAGTCAGTGAATATCCGGGAAATTTCAGGAACACGCTTTCAAGGAGAAGATGGATATTCAGTTTTGTAAACAAGATGCATATGAGACTTTTGCACCCCTGTTCAATAGTTTGTAACTGTTCAATTGGTGTTCCTCTAATAGAGAACCACGCAGCTAAGGACTTTCTCTTTTCAAGTATTCCTCTTGAACATACGACCGGTATAAGATGCACACATGCTGATGAACTGTACGCCTCTACTCACCGTCAGGGAACCCTATTTCAGTTTGACTCTAATGATTTACAGCTCTGTTTTAACGGCACCCTACACAGACAAACTGCTGGGATAACGTTTGGGTACCGTTTAAACACGCGCTTTTATGGGACCTCTGAGCTATACAAAATTACGTCAGTTCGTACAAACTGCGCATATCTCTAAGTATGTCATGTTCAAGATGCGTTTGATATATTGGACGAGAGTTGCATGGTCTGTGGATGCTAGAATTCTTGGGCTAATGGCCAGAAACCTAAAGAATGAGGATCTTTGCAGTTTACAGATGTTCAGATTGCAAGGAACGAAAAAAATCACTCATCAGATAGGCATTTTTGTGACCACTGTTGACGGAGAATATCTTAACTTTAAAAGATTCCGGTCACTAGATCAAACAGACCTTGGGAAAAAGTGTTTTTTAACCATACCCGGAGAAACTCTACTCTAATAAGAGTTTGGCTGAAGTTTGGCGCATTTCAGAATAATGAGTATTCCAGCACCGTCAGAATTAAGTACGGTGTTATTACAAAGCAAAATTTCACATGAGATTATATCTCTTTGTCTTGTGCAGTCCCGTTGTTTCTGTCAGTCTCAATTGGTACTGAACATCTAATCTGACGTAAGTGTGGAGCAGTGCTTCAATGCAGATTAGCATGGTGCTTACATATGACCACACCGAAGCAAAACTGAATTCGCTTCCTGAAGCATATCACAAACCGGAGCGCTTTTGGGGGATCATTTTTGATCCATGCGAAAATTCAATTAAAGTGTTCCTTTTCAAAACCCATAATTAGACAGACCTATTTGGCTTGGTTTTAATATCCATTTAAACGCCATGCATATCTTGCACTATGAGTGCGGTACTTCTCTAACAAAGTGACAAGGTTCGTAAACCAAAATCAGCTTGCCGGTAATAGCAGCGTAATATGTACAAGGTTATGTCCCATTTTCCTTCTACGAGATGTTGTGAACCGAAAGATTCTCGTCTGTTCCTTTGTTCGTCTAACCGAAGATCCCATGCTCATGGAAATGAAACGGAATAAAACTGCTGATAGGGTCAGTCTTTCTCTTACTCGTTTATCCCTGGAAGATAATCTCAGTGCGTCCCAGAAACCTGCCACAGAGGATTTGGCAGGCGACAGAACTTTATCGGTGGTTTTATTTAGAAAGACAACCTGTGGTGTGTGGGCAAATCGTCGCAGAATCAGTCTGGTAGATAGCATTATGCGCCCGTAACCTTGTACTAGTTTCACTTGATCCCGTATTTCCCTCGAGCACATTTTATCAACGAACGCTCCTCTGTAGATTAGCCTAGTGCTGACGTGTTCCTGAAATAAATCACAACTGAGTCCTCTTCTTTAAAGAAGGTTGAACTTTTGGCTTTATTTGCCAACTATCCCTGTCACTCGGTTTTTACTGAACGCTTATCTGCGCAAGAACATACTTGACTCATAATATTTGAATTAGTTTAAAAACCAAGTTAAATTCGTCCCACATCTTGTAGAGCAGGCGATCATCATCTGGTTCTCCCTTCGTCTAAACAAAGAAGACCTTCTCAGGAAAGAAGAATTCGGGTGGAATAAAGCAAGTGGTCAAATCATCTTTCTCGTGTTCTGTCAGTCCTTTGAGAGAGAATAGATATAGTGTATTCGACAAGTTTTGTGGAAAGCATTTGGTAGACAACTCAGGTGTCAGAGATGTGGCAGATCTCACAGTTTGGTGACCCAGCAGCTGATTGGGAATCTTGTGCTAAGCTTCACGTGCTCGAACGATAACCAAAATTAGTATAACTCCCATCAGGTCACAAATTCACAAACCACATCAGTTTCAGTAGCGTCCCGTAAATCTCACACGTTTCAGCCTGTTAGGCTCACAACGGCTCTTTTTTGCTAGGTCTCTCATTGATGACTTGTCGCTGGTCCTCATTCCACCCTCCTCCAACTCCTGCATTTCGATGCGCGTTGATGTGTGAGATTCCAATGTAAACATTTAGCCGAACTTATCTTTGTAATCCATTACCCATAAGGTTGCTGAAAATCCGTCGACAGCCCGCGATCGGTTTCATAGAATATAAGGTTGACGGAAACCCGGGGACTGCGCCTACTGATGAGCCCCAAGAAGGGCAAAACCGGTCGTGGGCTGTCGATGGATTTTCAGCAACCTTATGAGTAGTATATTACAAAGATATACATGTATCGCGATATCTCGAATATTGCAGCGACTGAAACATGGGGCCGCCTGTTGCAGCACATTCGATTACCTGAGAACATCACAAACGAGAGATTCAGCTGGGTTCCAGATGAGTCTCTTGAAAAATCAAATTAGTTTGCAAATAAGTGTATATTCGCTAATTCTGCCGAGTTCATTAAAAATTTGTAACCGGGTTTGCATGACAGCAATTCTTCTGTCTAAATTTGTTATATAACAAGTAAGGGAGGATTTTTTTGCAACCGCTTTTTCTTGGCATTGATCTCAAGGACCCGCAGATTACAAATGACGCGCTCTATTCCGATCAGATACGCAGCCCATTAGCCGCACAACGCTCTTAGTTGCAAAACATTTACGAGTGAAGTGAGGCTTTTTGTGCCAAAACGTTGCGTTTTGTTTCCTATGTGCTCAAACCGAAAATCATTGCGATCTACGTTCATATTTTTGCAACTCACCAAATTTCATTGTCCAGTGGAACAGTCTGGCAGAAAAGTCTGGTGGAATGATTCCCCAGCGTTGATGAGATTCCGGAATGCCCAAATGAGGCTCACAAGTTTGGACTGGTACTCTCAACTCAGTTGCCCGGTTACCTTAGTCCATCAGAGACACGTCACAGCCTTCGAAAGTTCCATTACATTGTGCGAATACTGGGCGGCCTCAGCTACTGTCTAATTGCTTAATAAAAATACTAGCCTAAACCGTTTTGCCACACCTTTATTGGTTCATGATCAGGTGGCTGTCGATCTGCTCGCCCAGCATGGCAGTTGTCTTTGCAACGCAAATCGCTACCCAAAGTGGGTGGGTAAACCATCTAATCTGGCCATAGCCTCTGAACGTCAGAAGTCCTTGAGAGATCTGGGTGCGTTTTTCACTCTTTTACGGTACTAGAGACGAGGTCACATCTTTACACTCGACTCTGAACTTCAGCCAAATATGCGCTTGATATTTATCATTTTCCTGAGTCACCAATGAGCCAACTGCCCAGTTTAAACATACGGCTTCAAAATTGTGTGTTAGCCCAACATTAGATTACAACTTGACGATGTTCATACTTAAAAGCTACTGACGTGAGCCTCGCTGTGAGACTACTCTGAGAATTCCCGAAGTACACTGATTTGCACACTAGCTTTGTTTTAACGGAGGACTCAATTGAATCCATCTAAACACTCCGTTTGCGATATTTGTTAGCTTATTGTGCTGCTGTACAAGGAAAGCTTCATGTTTCATTTGGTGCAGCATTCGAGATATAGCAGTGTATTCTGTTAAAGGGATACTACTGGTCAGGTTGCTGAAAACTTTTCGGCTGCACATGATCTGTTTCGTCTTTATTGGAACTCATCAAAAAGGTGCACTACCCAAGTTCTTCCCAACTTTATCCTCAATTCGAACCAGGTTTTGCGCAGACCAATCTGGCTGGATTCACTTTTCATTGATTGTTCTTGTTCCATTTTCTTAATGTGACTGAGTGTAGCTAAACATCTTTTCAACCAGTCAATTCTAAGTGTTTTATTGCTGCCTTACCAAACCCGATTGCCTGTGGAAACGCAAGCTGCAGAATTTCAGCACAAAATGGTTTTTGTAAATTCTGATCCTGTTTTTAGGTCTACATTTGAATGAAAATGATCATGAATGCCCCCTTTTTGGGATGGCTCAGTCTACTAACGAAACGAAAAATTTACAAACCAAAAAGAGAACCAGACGCCAAAAGTACGGCCACTTTTAATTTTGTTAGCTAGTTGAAACAAGCCACGAGGAGACAAATAAGCGATGTGGAGAATGCTAGATACCAGGCACTCATGTGGCATGTTGCAGATGAGGAATTTTCCAAATGCTGGGTTGCGGTTTTAGCTGTAGACTCCATGGATAGATCGTCTGTTTTGTTTGGACGCACCGGTATGCTTTCTTTCTCACTTGCAACTGTAACATGCTTAGGGGTGTTGGTTTCTGTGCGCGTGATGGAGGTAGTTGCAGGTTGAACCTTCTGCACGTTTGTTCCACTCACCGAGCCCAAACATAGATTTGTATAACAACAATCATTCACAGTTCTGTTGTTATTGGTAACCGTTATCCTGTTGCGTGGGCACTCTCCGCAGAGTCTGTTCGTACGCAAGAGGTCCGTGACGTCAAAGAATTTCTCAACCTGTCAGAAATTACAAAAATCAAATAAATTTTTCATCGGTCGAAAAATTGAATACGACAGAATCCCACGCCATTGTGACCCCTATCAGAAAACAAAACTTGTTTGTGTTCAGTTCATTAGTTGGACAATGAAAAGCAGAGAAACTAATTATACTGAGTGTGTGTGTATGTGTTGGCGCTCGCTCATAGATCCACTGCCCAGGTTGATTGTTGTCCGATAGTTATCACCTGTAAAACCTCCCACGACATAACACATAAGCAAACCCGCCTTTTCTCGACTTCGAACACAATCATCATCTACCCGTCTTGCTATAAACCATATTCAGGTGTTCGACAATTGTTGTCTCAGAACCATAGCTTGTGTGGCTTGGTGTCGGCGAATCCGTAACGAGGCAGTTAGAAAGCGTGTTTTTGGTTGTGTAACGGGTACTTCCATTGAA